ACTATCCAGCAATAGAATCTTTATTGAAATAATTGTTTCTTTTGAATACATACCAAAGATTGTAAGATATATCTATTTATGAAGTACACAACTAAGTAGAATTGTAGATCTTTGTTAAAATTTTACATTTTTAAACAATTACAAATAAAAGTGTGAGAAGATTCTGGAATTTATTATAACAATTAAATCATACTTAAAATACTACAGAAGTGTGGTAATTTCAAATATCAAAACACCATATATATATATATATATATATATATAAGCATTATGTAGATTATAAAATTGTGTAAACTTTTCTGAGGTGCAAAAAGTTGCGGAAGAAACTATTATTATTAATACTGTCTATTAATGATTTATAGAGAGTCTTTAATATGAGGTTTACAGAAGTAATCAACATCTTTGTTTTGTTTTATTTTTTTAATATAATAGTTTACATAATTTAGTGTATTGAAAAGTCTTGATGCATCTGGCATATGGGCACAACACATTTAGTTCTATATATAAATATGAATACTTTTATATGTATATACGTTTATTAATTAATGTCGATTTTTGAAAATGTTTCGAAAAAGATTTTAAACAAATTATTTATTAAATGGTGCCGATTATCTGAATTCTCGTGTTCTTTTCATACATGAGTTTACGGTATCATCATTGCAATAATTTCTACCCTGAACCCACATGCAATCGTTTTTAAATTTAGATTTGGTAAATCTTCTTGTGAGAAAGATAGAACTAAGATTTGGAAGATTTTTGAGAATTTAAGAATACTTTTTTATTCTTATTTTTTATGATTAGTAATCAAATTTAAAGCATGAATTTAAAAAGTTATTTTCTTAAGAATTTATCAAAATCATTGCAATGGTTGACAAAGTGAAACTAGTTTTTATCTTTTTGTATAAGTGTCTATTGATTAATTTAATGATTAATAAACTCTATGTAATATTTATATCTTTTGAGTTTTCTAGAGTACATGAAAAGTTATTGAATCACATAATTATATTTAAATTGAAATACGAATTTTAAATACATCAATTTCTTCAATGGTTTTTCATCCTAATTTTTTTAATATTTTAAGTTTCAATTTAAAGAAAGACAAACTCAGTGCTATATTAAAGAAAATCTATGAGGTATATCAAGTTAATATTTTTATTAATTTCAACAACCAAATTAAATTAAAAAAAAACATAACCATCACAAAATAAAAAATTTAATAATTATTTGGTCATTTAATAAATGTTTTTCAAAAATCATCATGGACATGTCCTCATTGCATAAAATTGACTATATTATTTTTTAATCGTTGGAAAAGAAAATCAAAATCAAAATTCTTCTCAACATTGTAAGACATTCTTTTGTGTTGTAAAATATTGAAAAATTAAATGTAATTAGAGGTCGAATATTTAAAATTATAACTTTATTAACCATTAATTAACGAAAAGAAAAGAACATAATAAATAGTCATTGTTTGTATTCATTGAGGGTAGAAAATTATATGTGCACATGCAATAAATATTGCAAGAATTAGTGACCTCCCTTTTGTGCTTCTTCAATTGTGGTTCAAGTTTCACTTTTTGTTCTTGCTCCAATTGCTTGGATTAAAAAAAATTGTTGTCCCTACTTAGCTTTTAATTCCTTAAATTATTTAATTCTAGGTTTTGAATCCTCTTGATGTTCCTCTCGCACACCTGCTTGCTCATGTTATGCACTTAAAATAGGTCAATAATATGCCCAATTTTGAAACCTTGTGTGGCATGTTATGTAAGAAAAGCATTCCATTTAGATGGAATCAATGCCATAGAATGTTGATTTGGTTAACAAAATGAGTCCATGGCTGGACTGTCAATAGTGGGATAGAATTGCAAAATTAGAATTTTATTCCTCATTAAATCTATAATTTTTTCTTTTTTCTTTTCGATTAAAAAAAGAAAAAAGAAAGAAAGAAAGAAAGAAAGAAAGAAAGGTTAATGGTTTATAATCTGGGAATAAACTCCATTCCAGCATATTATTAACCAAGAAAAGAATATTAATTAACGGGTATTAATTAGATAAGGTACCACTGTATATACAATTGGCTTTACTAATCAATTTTCTAAACTTTACTTTTAAAATTTTAATTTTTTGATAATTTTGATGTAGTTGAAATTGGTACAGTATTAGCTTTAATAGACATGTATGATCTTCATGCTTGGTTTTATATATATATATATATATATATATATATATATATAATTTTTTATGTAATTTTTTACATTCTAAATGCCTTCATAATTCTAAATAAGAATGTAAATACATTGATAAAAGAATTCAATTGCATTAGCTCCAAAATTTAGTTTTAATACAATATTTATATTAATTAGTTTAGATTGTTAGTTTGTTTCTAAGAATCTATATATATATATATATATATATATTGGAGTGAAGCCACCACAATTTTGGCCGTCAGCTCTGTAAGCCACACAATATATTTTATTTTATTTTATTTTTATATTCGAACTAAAAAAATTAATATTTTAAATAAACATTTTTCTGTATTAACTATATTGAATTTAGTAAACATATTGTTTAATAAAAAATAACTCTTCAAATAATGTGAATTTCAACAAAATGACCATAAATATTTTTCAATGAATCTAGGTTCTATTAATTATTTAAAAACTGCATGCAAAATTTTAGTGTAGATTCTTGTTAAAATTTTAGAAAGCAAGATGTGCAGTATGGTATGCAGTAACATGAATATTGCTAGAAATTAAAAGATAGATAAAATTCGTGTTATACAGTAAGCAGACATACATGCTTAAAAAAGAAAATTTTATTTATATATATTTGAATAGACTTTTGCATTATTTGAAATTTGAACTTTTTTATAAGATACTAATAAAAAAATCCATATTAATGTATTACTTAATTTTAATTTTAATTTTTTAAAAATATATTTTGGAAGCATACTGGTGTAATCTTTACAGTAAGTGTATTATTTTGCATTCTTATTACAGTTTCCTGTATATATATATATATATATATATATATCTAATTTTGTAAAATTTATAATTATTTTAAAAATAATGCAATCTACTTAAAGAAGCTTACTACATCCTATCAACATTAAATAACGTTAAAATATTAAATTATAAAATTCAGTTACAGTTTTTCATGGAATTTTAATTAGTAAATTGCATAAAAAATAAAACATACACCTTCATTTGAAAGAAGCCTTTTGAAACATTTCAAGAATTAAAATCAATCTGTTTAATTATTTATCATTTAAGGTTAAATAATAATTCATATTGAATTGCTCTAGTATCACCTCTACTACCAAAAAATATTAAAATATATAATAGAAATAGAATATTTTTTAAAAAGTAAATTAAAAAAGAATGATAACATCATTGCAAAAATTAAAAATATTTTAATTCTTTTCAAAAATATATTTGTTAATACAAGTACTTGATTTTTTTTATTGATTCTTTAATACAAACCTTTTAGGAGGTGATTTTTATAAAAATTTAAAAACAAAGTTTAAAACTTACTAAAAATATTGATTAAATAAATCATATTTTATTATTATTTTTAGAATAAAGGTATAAGGTGGCATATTAAGACTTATGATAAAATGATATTATGGTCCATTTCATGATCTCTTCTCATTTTATATTATCTCTAAACAAAACCAAGGTCATTAAAAGAGAGTTATTTATTTATCCATTTATCTATTAGAAGACATTTATAAGAATTTTTTCCATTTTTTTTCAAAGTAGGCTTTTAGATAAAAAGACTTCATAATTTGATTAGGTTACTATTGAATACTAGGTACAAATTAATCAAGTAAATGTTTAAATTATATGCTATAAATAAATATACCATTGAAATGATTTTTTATCCAAATATTAAAATTTAAAATTTAATCTAATATTTCATATTAATAATTTATTTATAATAATTTATTTAAAATATCATATTTTTAATTAGATATTCAAACAAACATTTACATTCTACTCATTTTTATTTAATTTGATGTTAATTTAAGTGATTAAGATTTTATGATATTTATAAAATTACTATTATAATATTTATAAATTAATGTAAAATTTTATTTTTATATACATGCATGATAATTATTTTTTAAAAAAGTGAACTTCATTCTCTCTAAATATATCTAACTATTTGTTTTGTAATACAATTTGATTATAACAAGCTTCTAAAACCTAGGTGAAATTTCTATATATATATCTTTATGCATAGAAATTATCAAGATACCCAACATGATTAATGTCTAATACCTAGACTCAAAGAAAAAGCATGTAAAAGTAGTTGGGGTGAATTTTGAGGAAAAAAAATATCAAACCCTCTTTGTGCATCCCAAGTATTCAAAAAAGATAAAGATAATACAATGATAAACTTAAAAAGTACCAAAAGAATTACCCAATCCCAGCGCATCCAAATAGATTTCATGGCAAGCAAATTCAAACTTATAAGAAGCATAATATTATTTTAGTGAAAATGGGAGACTAAACACCCCCCCCCCCAATGAATTGCGAGAAGAGAGAGAGAGAGAGAGAGAAGCTGACATCGCGGGCAGCCAATCCGGGCAGCTCACCCGCAATGGACAGATGAAAGTGTAGAAGAGGCAGGGACGGGGGACCCGGGCCTAATGGGGAGCGGGCTAGTAAGCCGTGTCAGGTAGGCTGTTCCGACCAGTGTAGGTAGAGTAGGTATAAAGCACCTAGGCATAGACCTGATCAGGTTCGGAGGGTGGGAAGAGAGGGCCTAGAGGGTCGGTTGAGTAGGAGGCACTGCTGCCAATCCTTTCCTACACTACACTGAACCCGCGACTTCCTTCCTTCCATCCAGGAGTGACTTCACGCCTAGCCTACGGGTGGGTTCCAATGGAGACCCGACCCGACCCGACCCGACCCGACCCCATACGACTGGGTCCCACCCAGCCCGGCCCATCATCTCGGTCCCACCGGAGTGTCTCTCTCTCTCTCACTCACTTTCTGGCTTTGCTCGCAGGATCGCAGGCTCGCACTCTCTGTTCCGAGTTTCCGTCTTCAGCTTGCTTTGCCGTCCCCTTTCCTTCGCAAGGCTTGGCTTGATTCGGCTCGTGGTGGGAATCTTGGATATGCTCCGCCTCGGCCTTGGGATAGTTGGTGCACTGGTGCATCGCGAAGGGTGATGTGGGGGGACAGCCTCATCACCAGCAGCATCACGGAGTCACTCCTCGCACTGGAGGAGGCGGTGCTGCTGCTGCTTTGCTGGATGAGTAGCGCAGAGGAACGCGATTTTAATGGTAGAGTTGAGAGGGTGATCGTCGGGTGGATCGGGTTTGGAAGAGGTGGCTGTTCACAGGGTGAGTTAGCTGCCTGTGGTGAGGCGAGGTGGTGAGGTGTTGATTGTGCAATTGTTTGGGAGTGACTGACTGTTCAGTTCCGCGCGGAGGAGAGGAGGATTTCATGACAGTTTGCGTGGGTGTGGGAGGTGAGAGTTGCGCTGGGAGTTAACAGCCTCGCATCGTTTTTTTTTTTTTTTTTTTTTTTTTTTTTTTTGTTGTAATGTGGAGGCGTTTGGAGCTGGGGTTAGTGGTTGGTTGAGGTTTGGAGTGGGCAAGCGCTGCCGTCGGTTTGGATTTTGAGGTGGTAGGCTCGGAGCTTCAGAACGTGGTAGCTCCTTTCAGGTAGACTTTGATGATGTCTTGTTGCATGACAGTGTCTGGAGTGATTCATGAGTGACTTGTTCGCGTGCGGGCGCTTGTGGTACCCATCACATTTGGTGATGTATTTTGAGCTTCTATACATTTTCATGCTTGAGGGACTTAGCCGCTGCCTAAGACAGCTAAGACTAGAAACCATGCTGAGCAGATTATTATCATTGCTATTTTCGTTGGTCACTGCTTCAGTTAGCTCCATAAATATGTGTATGAAGGCAACTAAAATAACTTCGTATCCATGTTTGCGAGACGTTAAGAATGGATGTTCGACTCATATTAGAAGATTTTAGTAACTGAATTTTTTTTCTTCTGCTTTTAGCTCGTTCCAGTCAACTAGTTCTGGCCATGCCTGTGATAACGGCAGTTCAATGGCTTCCAAGCTATCGCTAGTGCAGGCTAGTGAATTTCCTAACTACAATTGACTTAACATTAGTTTCTGATTGTGCAAGGATGCAGCGAGATAGACTTACATGAAAGTCATGGTTTGTCATTACGTAGGAGTGCAAGGGAGCCGTCTTTACATGTAACCTGCAGGAGATTGTACATCACTAGTCTGATACCAAGTTAAATGAACTTAAGTTCTAAGCGTTCTAGCCGAAAGAAAGAACCAGAATGTCCTTTTCGAGGGCAGCTCTCAGGGTAGCAGTAAAAACTCTATCTTACAGGGAGATTTGTTTTCCTTCGTTCAAGAGTGTACAGATGGGCGAGATTGCTGTGTAGGGTCGAAAGAGCCGACCTCTACTGATGATTTTCACATCTTTCCGAGCCGTCACATTTAATGCCTACTTTTAGTATGGAGGACAACCAACCCATTCTGACTGTAACTAAAAAACTTAGCTGAATCAAACAATCGACTGTAGCAGCACATCGGTGACACAGACCTAGCGCGTAAGTGGTTTCTTAGTTAAACCTGGAACAACGTTATAGGATTTTCGTTCAACTTGGACACGCAGTGATGAACTAGAGGAACGATCAAAACGAGCGTTTTTTTTTTTTTTTTTTTTTTTTTTCGTATTCGTTGGTTCACACTGAGCTCTTCGAAGGTTGAAGTCAAGGTTCATATTTGCACTTGCAATACATCCGGTTCACAAGACGAAACTTGAGGCGCGGTTACACGTTTGAAACACAGTCTATGAGAGACTTAGATAAGCTTTCTGAGGAGAAAGAGAGAAAAAGAAACCTGGCTCCTCTTTGTTAGAATGTTTATTAGCCAGGAAAAAGGATATCTTTGGGGTTTCGAACTTGTCATAGGATACTGGACCACGTAGGAATTGTTGGTATGTATAAAATCACCATCTAGACCTAGTATATCCACAGTGAGGGCAAAACGATAACACAAGTATATTTTCTTGGAGAGGCACACATGATTTCATAGGATTTGTTTGAAGTGAGATACTGCAATATTGACTATAGAGCTAGGTTCTGAGAAAAAGTTGTGTGTTCTTTCTAGGTGGAACGAATTGAGGAGATTTTCCAGTGTTGAGAGGGAAGCTTGGCTGGTATGCCAGACCAAAGAATGCTGGATGAGCCCTTCTTTGTACAGTATTTCTGCTGTAAGCCTCGCAATGTCCAGCAAGACACTACATCGCATGAGACTCTTCGCTTTCTGGACTGAGTTGATGCACTCCATGCACATGCCTTCCTGTGATCGTTGATGTAATCGGAAGTGTCTGTCAGCACGAGTCGAGTCCATAACAATGTGATTCTGACGATCAATTATCACATGTTTGTGATTCTTCTACGCAATAGAGGTAAGTGTTCCACGTATGTAGCTTGCAGGATCAAATTAGAACAGCAAGAGGAATATCACTTGCTAGTAGAATGACCCATGGGACTTCAGTTGAAATATTTAAGTGCAGTACTGAAGATGGGAACGTCATGGAAAGTAATGAGGCAATCTGAGGAAAAAGATTCCGTCACGACATGTTGGTACTCCCTACCGAAGGAATTCGTTTAAAGAGCGCATCCCTATCAACATATAAATCCTCAAAGTAGTTATGGAACTTAGTTAGAGGGACAACCAACCTTGCCGGATGTATTGGTCCTGTTCTCTAAAGGCGACCGATCTTTGGTTCTCTCAATCTAAAACAATTAAAAGAATATATCTCTGCAGAATACGGTTTAATTGGAATTAATCCAACCAGTTGAAATTCCCAATATCCTGGCAGTTGAAGAAAGTGCATAAGCTCGAGCAGCGGCTCATCCTCACATTACAGAGGTAATGCAGGAGGTCAAAACTCAAGTTGGGCCGGTTGGAGAGCTTTGGTACCTTGACAAGGGAAGGGGAGGTGGAATCTGCTAGGGATATGAGTATACCAACTTTTTTTATAGAGGACCAGGAGTCCATGAAGGCGGAAAACAAATTCTTATCATCCCATTCTCCCATTACCTGATAGCGTTAACTGGACATATTTTCAGAAACTGAGAATGCTCAATGCTTTTCCAGTTTCCTGAAAGACTTGTGTCATTTACTAGAACAGCTGTGTGGCACCAGTAGATATTGTTTTCACCACTTTCGCTTCAATTTGATGAAGGTTAAAGACCCGGGAAGTCGTTTATAGCAGTTTATCTAAAATTGCCGAGAGCGGACTGATTTCAACTGTGGATGTATTTGTGCAGGTACGTACTTCAGAGTTTGCATGCATGTTGAATTAAATAAAAGTTTCTGAATTAATTGTGCTTAGTGCACATACCCCAAGTGAAGAAAGATCCTTAAAAAGCCTTCAGACTATTGAGGATGTAAATTAAACTGACTTGGACATTCTGTGGAGGTTTTCAGTTCTTTCTTCCTCGATGCTCTCAACCAGGAGTTGCGGTTGTCGACGAAAGCTAATTGTGGTCAATAATGACAGAAACCTAGAATATCCACTTCAGAATTCTAAATTTGAATTGAACGATTTAAACCGACTCGTCAGTCCCGTCTGTCGGTAACGAAGGAATAGAGTAGAGAAATGATGCCGTAATAAGCCTAATGAGGGTCTTCGTTAAACCCAATCAACCCTTTTTGGAACATGCAGGAAACATATCCACATACTGTTTGTTATGTCGCTCTGCATAAAAGTCGTCATTAAAAATGATGTCCAGCATTGTGAGGATACGCACGAAGGGCAGGGTCTTAGCTGGTATCTGTGTTTTTGATTTCTTTTTCCTTTTCTTTTTCTTTTACTCAAGAGATCGCTCGTCTCGGTTTTAAGAAGAAAGAGGCTTTTTGACTCACTATTCGTCTCTCGTGCTGCAATTTTGCATTTTTTCCAGGGTTGCTACTGGTTCGTTTATGGCGGATATTTTCTTTGGAGCATGAAACATCTGCATGGACTACAGAAGGTTCACTTCTTCAAAGTAGAACTAGCAGGCAGGCGATGAAACGCAGCTCACATTTCCCCCTTGATGGAATAAGCGGAGTCCGTCACTGTAGCTGACCAAATTTAACTCCATGTGCCGATTCTTATGTCACTCTATTCAGGGATGCTGTGAAACTTGCCGGACTGTCGAGGTCGTGGATCAAAGTGTGGAATCGGATCTTGAATCACTTCGAATTTGCACATTTTAATGGTACAATCTCAAGGTCACTTCAAGACCAGCAGCATTTGGAAATAACCGTGCTGTGCATGGCATACCGAGCTGAAGTTTGCCTCCAGGTCTTGAGAGGTCACCCTCGTTTCAAAAAGTCTTCATCACTTGCGCTTGTCTAAATCTTCTATGGGGGTTCTGGACTGGTGATGATTGTCCTCTGATTGCCTTAGTACCGTGGCTGCGTATTTACGTTTCTCAAGTATACCAGCTTACATGTTGCTTACAGGCTGCCACAAAACCAGTAACATTCATCTCAAGGTCTGCTGACGAGCCTTTTGATGATTTAAACTTGGCGTGTTCTCTCTCCTCTGTCACTCAACTTGTCATCCAGCTGTTCCTTTACTGAGAACACTACCCCATTTACCATCTCTTCTGGTTTATGGGATGAACCCTTCTGCAAGTTCCAACGAGCAGCAAGGTGATCCTAGCTGGGCAACAGAGAACTGGGACAACCCAGGTGCAGTTGGCAGCCTAGATCAGGCCTCCCGTCAGTATACAGGTTCTAATCGCCAGGAGTGGGAGTGGGATCCAATGATTCTCGCACAGCACCCTGGTAGCGGTGGCTCCAATGACGGCAGTGATGGAGACCGTAAAAACCAAATTTCTGCAGGTGATTAGTTACATCCAAACGGTCCATTGATATGTTCCAACAGGCCTTCGATTTATGGAAAGTTGACATATTAAGCTATGACGAATACAAATTATTAATACTGATATGAATGCCGTTCTGTCTGTTTCTGGACACAGGCGCAATGTCTAGCCTTCGGGCATCGTACAACATGTTGTCAGCAGGCCTACCATCCAACTTCACCCATAATCCCTTAGGTATTTTCAGCTCCGCAGGTATCCGGAACTTTGGATCTCTGGACGGATCTGGTCAGATTTCGACATCAGCTAACCTCCACAGCGTCCTTGGCTCATCTGGAATACCAGGTCTTGCAGCAACGAGTGGTACAGGCTTCTGTAATGACATTCGAAGTTATGAGCGTCGCTGTGATTTCTTCGCGGCTAATATGCATGACCATCGTGTGAAAAGAGAGGAGGTATGAGCCAAAGCATCTTTCACCATTTAAAATTATACCGATTTCTAACGATTTCATCGAAACCATATTTCCGAAGAACAAATTTGGATATGCTGAGGTCACCAGAGTTTTTGGTATTAAATAATATGATGTTAAATCTACTCTTGTTCCTTATCCAGGTTAGCGACGGTCATGCCCGGATAGGCCTTAACCTTGGGGTTCGTACGTACTTCTCGACTGAGGACACAGCTGTAGGTCGACTTGGGAAGAGACATCGGGCAGGTTCACCTGGTTTCCAAGTTCCTGTGTGCCAGGCCGAGGGTTGTAAAGATGATTTGAGCAATGCCAAGCACTACCATCGTCGCCACAAGGTGTGTGAGCTTCATTCAAAAGCTCCAACTGTTACAGTTGGTGGACATACGCAGCGGTTTTGTCAGCAATGCAGCAGGTATGAGATGTTTTCGGAGAATCCGAGGAATTGATACCCTCTCCACTTGCCTGAGCCAAGACCTGGAATCAAACTATTTTATGCAGTTTTACTAATATCGTGATTGCCTTATTTGAGCAGATTCCACCATTTGGGTGAGTTTGACGAGGGCAAACGAAGCTGCCGAAAGCGCTTAGCTGACCACAACAGACGTCGACGGAAGCCACAACTAAATGCCTCTACTTCAGGTGGAACCTCAGTTGAATCCATTGGTATCATAAAAGCTTGCGATGACGGACATCTGCATGCAGGCATCAATCGTCCAAACGGTATTCCTATCGGACCTCAAGTTGTATTCTTTTGTTATTTTTCCTCCCTTTTTTCTGTATTGTTCTTGAAAGCAGCTAATTTGTGCATTTAGTCTGAAGGAATACTTACATCCACAATGTTCCTATGTTCTTTGTATTTCTGGGGCACATCGACCTCTCTGAAAATCCTTTGATTTCCTTTGTTACATTTCGTCAGTGCAATATCTATCATATTCATGGGACCGTGGAGGGCCCCAAGTTCAAACAGTACAAATCGTGTAGACGTTGGTGATATTCCCTGAGAAAAGTGCACTTGGTAAATTTTCTTCGAGTATAAGCATCTTTCTTTCTTACTTGACCTAGTGCCCTCACTTTCACCGAGTTTTTGGCTAACTACTGTGGGTGATGGGTGCAGATCCAAAATCAATGCTCAACATGCACTCACAGAAGAACTGTGGGTCACCTAATTCTGTCTCTCTGGAAGACTCTGATGAGAAGCCTAGTTTAGGCGCCAAAAACCTGAAATTACGAACATCTGGTCCTGGCTATTGCAGAAGTCCTGGAAATGACCAGCAATCGTCTCATTCGGGGATGCAGATGGACTCCCAGTCTATGGCGAGTTCAGAAGCCCAGACATTGCTGTCTGCTATATCTCTATCACCACCAGCCCCTCTTGTGCAACACAAATCAAAGCGACAACTGACAATGTTGGGAGGGACAGGAGATTATGATCATGAAAATTCAGTATACCAGCTATATTTGCAGGTAGTTGAGAATCAAGTTCACTTCTCTCTTCAAAACTTTAATACGATGCTGAGGACGAAGTAAGTTTAACCTATTACTTACTATAAAATTATGCACGTCGCATGCAGGGAGTAAGTTCCAGTCAGACTGGACCAAACCTATCGCTTTCTTCCCTAGAAAGCCAACTTGGACATCAAGGTGGAGGCCGAGGACAGCCAACATCTGTTCAAAGCTACAATGGAATGGAGTCCGCTGTTCAATGGCTAAGGCCTATCAATGCACAATCAGATAGCATGACCAAAGCGGTTAACAGATCAGGTGCAATGAACATGCAGCATCTGATATCCACTGATTCGAAATCAGGGATTACATCAGCCTCAGCAAATTCCTCAAATTCTCAGGTGAATATCCAATGTAAATCACTTGAACGGCATGTATTGGTCTTGAATACTTAGCTATAAACTTTGCCATAACGAACCCTCCCCGTTGGATATATGCATGACTTAACCTGCAATGTCGTGCACCGTTCTGTGAAACATTTCAGGAACATGATGTCCAAGCATTCTCACCATCAAATCAAAGTCTTCTACCTCTGGAATCTCGCGATCTATCCAGCCCCGAGTGGATGATGGGTAGCATAACAGGGGCACAAACTTCACGTGATGGGTCACATCAGTATAGACCATCGACGCCCATGAATAATCTATCAGCAAGCGAGCAGCTTGAAGCTGGCGATCGAATGCTAGCTCTAATTAATACTTCCAATCAGGCTGGTAGTAACCCCGGTAACGATGGAAGTAACCAGAACGTCCTTACTGGACGATCACAAATGGAGTTTCTTCAGCAGCAAAATACAGGAGCGGATTCAGGTGGTGATAACAATAGTCGTGGTGGCGGTAGTACTGTAAACAGTCCTGATTTGAAGTACCCTGAGCTCCAGTCCCTCAGGCCAAGCTCCTACGGAACATCATCTATCTATGATTCGCATCACAATCTCTTGTAAGACAGACATGCAGTCCATGTGTGATGCATATGGTATGTTTCTCTCTCTCCATGTTCTCTTTCTACATCCTCTCTCGGATCGAAACGTCTTGTAGTGAACGGCAGGTCTCAACATCTGTAGAATCTTAACAACACCTCACGTCACTCCCGCGTCAGGTCGAACAAGACGGTTGATAATGGCCCATTTTATGGGCTGAAATAAAGTTGTTCAAAGTTTCATACATGCTGAGTAACAGTTCTGGTTGTTAAAATGCATTCCGACGGTCTGTCTTTAATATTTCTATAATCGAAGAAAGTAAACTAACTTCGACGCGTATGTTGTTGGAGTGGTTTGCAGTGTCTAGGGTTTATCTCCATCCTGAGGTCTTGAAGAGCTTTGGACCTAGCTAAGGACGATGACCACCCACAATTAAAAACCCGCTGCACTGATCACAGCAGGTTGCGATCTTTAAAGAGTATTTATTGAGGTTCAATTTAGAAACAACAGAACGTCATTAGATTCTTGAGGGAAGTTTTTTTTTGGATATTATTGTATGAACGCTGTTTCTGTAGCCATTTTCTGATGAAAAACTCCCAACTTTTGCAAGATAGTAGAACGTAGGCAATGGATTCTTTTCCATCGAACTATCTACCAGTACAAAACCATGGTTGGACCAGCACTTGAATTTCTGGACAGGTTGAATGAATAACTCCCTAAATATATACTCTATACCTACACATTCATTTGTAATTTTACTGCATCGAGAGTAATTTCAGATGATGATTCCTGCCCAATGGCCTCCTGTGATTTGTCTGATTTGAATTTTTTGCTGAGGAAACTAAAGATTTATATACAAGGTATATATATATATATATATATATATATTTATATATTGAATATAACGTATATTTGGTTGTAATAATAGGATTATGACTTTCTTTCTGGTTTAATTTTCTTCCGTGTTCTGAACCTATAAACTCTTTTCATTTTCGTTTTTTAAAATTAGGTAGTTAATGAACTCAATATTTGTTTTTGGTGTATAGTGGACATGAAATTTACTTGATTTCATAACTGAATACTTTTAGAATTATTGTAAAGGTCTATTGGTATTTTTTTGGTTAGTGCAACATATCAAGATTCTATCAAATTACAAAATTTGTTATTTTGTTTTCTTATTTGATTTTTGTTTTATTTTATGAGCCCATTTTTGTAAAATAAAAAAATGGTTTTAATATTTAGACCATACAATACAATATAATTTTTAATTTTTCTTTCTATCCAGCATTTGTATTTTTCTTAATTTTTTAAAAAAATCTACCCAATGTTCTTTGTTTTATATCCTTACTATTTATGATACAATAGTATAATTGTTGCATTCTTCTTAAATAATGTGATTGTGATGCATGTTACAACAAAATGGTGTCAGATCTACTACATAACAAGAGCAAAAATGTGATATTATTCAACAACTTAAACCTCATATATATTTTAAGCTACAAATGAATCACTTTTATTTTAAATTAATTTAATTTTATATTGATTTAGTCTCTAAATTTTTTTTGTTTAATAATTGAATATAACAACTTTTAAATATGCTAAGAAATTTTTATTATACTATTTTTTATAATTGTATACTTATAATTATAATTATTTTTCTATAAAACGCCTTATTGTGTTTATATTTTGATATTTTATTTTAATTTTAAAACTAAATCTAATTGTTATACTTATATATCATGTAGTCTAAAAACCAAGATACTAAATTGGATAAGATCCAAAACTCTAATTTATAGCTAACAAAAACAAAGAAATAAGAAATTTTAACATTATGAATGATTAACTTAAGAAAGCAATTAGTGATATTCAACACATTATAGAAATATATAAATAGAAATAGATATCTTTTGTAATTAGCAGCCTTGGAATTAATAGTTTTTATGTATATTATTGCAAAACAAACTTGCTCTTGTATAATAAGTAATTACACCAAATAAACTTGAAGTTTGTATGTTCTAATTTATTTTTGACTGTAAAAATTAAAGTACCAATCTTTGCAACAAAACTTTCTATAATTATTATCTATACTAAGTATCTACTAGAAATCTATCTTTGATCAAACATCTCCAACAAGACCCTCAAAAAAGTCAAACAATGCAAATAAATTCACAATTTTTTTTATTAACTAAAAATCTCCAATAATATTCTAAAATTATCATCAAAGCACCAAAATATTTAAAAGAAATCTACTTTTTTACTGAAATATAATATATTCATTTATTTTTATTTTTTAATACTTGTGACACAAACACCAAATATGTCACTACTTTATAAGTTCACATGACAAGAGTCAATAAGATAGCCTAGTAAAGTGGACACTTGGCTATTACTTCACTAGATATATAGACATAATTAAAATGAAGAGAGTTATGAATAATAAAATTACTTAACTTAAAAAAAAAAAAATGTTCTTAAATATACAAGTCATCTTCACACAAAGTTTGGAGTTAAAATAGTTTACATAATAAACTGAACTATGTTCTACAAGTTCATAATAAATAATTCAGTAGAGCAATATCTAACATACCTTTTTGTTGCACAAAAGTTAACGTGTTTAGTTCAAAAAGACTTAATTAAAGAATAATAAAAAATAGCAAGGCTCACAAGTTAAATATTAAATAATATCAATGCTATACTTTTTGAGAATGTTAAATTTGAGTATTTATTTATTTATTTTATTTTTTTCAAAAGATAGTGATGAGATTTTAGTAATAAAAAAAATAGAATTTAGAGTTGAAGTAATTCAAGAAGAAATTGTGATTTTGTTAATTGATATTTTTACAATTGGCTTTTTGAGTTAAATAGGTTCTAAGAAAATAATTAGATTAAGAGGAGAAGAAGTAAAAAAACCTAAAGTATTAAATTTTTGATTTTGCAATTACAACTTTGTAATTGAAAATATTTAGTGAAATTTAGAATTTTTCAAATAATCATTTTAAAAATATTTTTGTGAATATTTATGCATTCTATTCAATAGATAGTACATGAAATAAGAAAAGATCATTATTTCCTAATTTTTCTCTAGTTTAGTAAAATTGGCCATTGATATGCTTGGTTTGTGGGTTAATTTTTAGATTTATAGCTATTCTCATGTTGGAATTTTTATTATATATTATTAGAAGTAGCCTTAAATTTATGAAACTTAAATTACAGAGGATCTTCTTAAGCTAAGATGCTTCACAAGCTATTGTATAAATGCACGTATATTCAATTTTAAATGAAGATAATGCTATCATGCTTTGTTTCTTTGATAATCATATAATAGGTCTATTTTTAAGTCTAAAAGTAAAGCTCTTTGTTGAGCATATGTCTTTTAAATCTCTAATCAAGTCAATATTTATGTATCCAAAAATTTAAAGTTTTATGTTATGTTAAAAAATTATACCAAATTCTTTTGTCTTTAAGATATATATGAAATGTTTTTTACTCTTTAGAAGTGAGGTAATTAGGATTTTGATATAAAATAACTTTTGATTGCTATTGTATGAAAAATATTTGGCCTTATATGAATTAGATAAAAATATTTTTTAATCAATGATTTATAAAGAATAGAATAAACAAAGTCAACTTTTATATCTATGAAGAGTTTCAATCCAAAAATCATTAGAATTGAAATTAATTGAGATGAAATTATGTCAAATATTTCTAAAGTTTGAGTTGCATAATTTCTATGAAAGAAAAAGATTCTATTACATACTTGAATGCATTTTTTTTAATAAAGAATATTATATTTTTTATATAAATTTTACTTATTTCAAAATTTAATTCTAATTTAGCTTTGAACCATGTGATATATTTATCACAATTTCTTATAAATAATAGATAATGAGCATATAAGTCTAGAAAGATATTTCTTTTTTGATATCTGAAAATATGTAAATTATAGTTGTATTCTCTTTGGAAAAACCATATTTTCTTAGAAATGAATTGATCTTCGTGTATTATGATTTTGGAGCTTTATAAAGACCATTGAGTGTATTTTTTAAGTCAACACATTAATTTTTTATTTTATTTTATTTATTAATCTTTAAATTATATAATATAATTTATTTCTTCTAAATATCTACAAAAAAAATGTTGTTTTGACATCTATATAAAATAATTATTATTTCTTTTAAGTTGTTAGGATTAATAGACACTTAATTTTTATTTATTTAACAACTAATTCAAAAACATCTTTATAATTTATTTCTATTTTTGTCTCAAAAATTCATGCATCAACACAAGTTTTTTTCTTTTGTAAAATTCTATCACCTTAAACCTTAGTTTTAAAAAGCCTATTTTTTAGATATTGATAATTTTTTTAGTAGAAATTGTATCAATAGCCATGTTTTGTTTTTGTAGATAGAATCCATTTTTTTTTGATTGCTTGTTTTTATCTACTAAAATGTGTTGTATCTTCAAATATTAATATTTTTTTTGAGATTATATAAACCAATTGTAATAAATATTCATATTTACTAATATATTTACTTAGATAACTAGAATTAAATAGAAGTAGGTAGAAATAGATTGAATTATTGATATTTTATTAGAAAAATTTCTAAAAGCTTTGTATACTTCATACATATTTATAAGTAATTGGTAGATTGACAACTTGGCTAACATGTTAAACATATATTGCATATTTAGCCACTTATCTTATAAGTTGGTCTTATTGTGCACATATCAAAAACTTGTGCTCTAAATTAGACGTATATTGCACAAATTAGACATGTGTCATATAACCTATAGAAAATTGCTACATAATTTTTTAGTAGATAGTATATGGAAGGAAGAGTAAAGTCTTCTTCACTCTTATCAATGTCTTTCTTATATTCTATCTTAATTCATGACTTCTTAGTCCTTTTGTATTTGATAATAGTAATTCTAGTTCAATTCTAAATCTATTTTTTAGAATTATTTATTTTTTTGGTGATATAAGAAAGTATTATCATTTTTAGAATTTTATTGTGGTTCATATGTTTAAAAATGTACATTAATTGTTAAATAATTTTAGGTGAGATTGGATGTGATTTTTGGTACTAGAAGATGGTATTATAAATTCTATATTATGGCTAGATGGATTTTTTAGATTACTTATATTTATGGTATTTTTTAAAAACAGTTTGTGATAAATAATAGGTATTTTAAAAGATTAATATTCATTGATGGTATCATTGAAAGGTCAATCTTCATAATTATTTAAAAAATGTAGTTGAATATAAAATTATAAACTTATTAAGCCAATGGTATTTTACCATCAATATAAAAGAATTACCATTATATGCTTGATTTGAGGACATAGATTCAAAATAAGATTTTTATTTTTAGAGAACCAAATATTTCTTAAGATAATAAGAACCTAATCATATTCAATGTTTGAATTATAGTGGTATTAAAAGAATTGTGAGCATTGAATGGTATTTTGGATAATTTAATTGATGAATTTGTAGTAGATAATAAATCATCTTCTTTTTTGTTACTAACATAAATTGTAGGTAATAAAGTTAAAATCAATAAGAATAGATATTTTAAAAAGAGAGTAGATTTGACTTTAGGTATAAATAAAAAATTTATTTAATTAAATTATATATTGTATATGACTTGGATTTTTTTAATAATGAAATACATACAAAATATTATTTATATTTCTATAATATCTTTTAAATTTAATTTATTATGATATATTTTGTCTAAACAAGTATAAGTATTGTAGCCAAAAATCATAATTTTTTTTAAGTTAAGTTGTTTGTCA